TAATACTGAAGGCCTTGCCGACCCATAAATGATTGATCCATAATCTAGTTTCGAACGAATGAGAGCTCTATATAAGAAGCATTGAGCTTCGATCAGCACCCCAAGAAGTATTTGACAGTACTTTCAGAATATTCATAGTTTTTAAACATTTCTTTTTTAGATAGGTAATATGGGGGAGGAACGTAAGCTTATGGTCAAATATCATTCCTAGGAATTTTATTTCCTTTTCTACAGGAATCAGCACATCTTGCAGATAAAGTTCGGGGTCAGGGTGAGGAATTTTCTTTCGACAGAAATGTACACACACAGTCTTTTGAGTAGAGAATCTAAAACCATTTTCCTGTGACCATTTAACAATTCTATTGAGAGATGTCTGCAATTTACATCGAATGTCTTTCAGGTCTTCTCCCTGGCAACTGACTTGCAGGTCATCGACATAGAGCATACCCTGGACTGCTGGAGGCAGTTGTTTTAAAATAGAGTTAATTTTTTATACTAAATAATGTAACACTTAATACACTTCCTTGCGGAACGCCCTCTTCTTGATGGAACATGTCAGAAAGTGTATCGCCTATCTTCACATGAAACTTCCGAATGAATGTTTTTGGATTCCTGTAGGAAATGTTTGATGAATATCGGCATGTTTCCTCGTAAACCATTGCTATATAGGTCACGAAGGATACCGTATCTCCAGGTGGTATCATAGGCCTTTCTCTATATCAAAGAAAATGGAAACATAATGATTTCTTCTAACGAACGCTCTACGGATACCTGTTTCTAAGAGTAGGATATTATCGATAGTTGCTCTTCCTTTTCTAAAACCGTTCTGATAAGGGGAGATACAATTATTTGTCTCTAAATAATAGACCAGACGAGTGTTGACCATCTTTTCAAAGAGTTTGCAGAGGCAGCTAGTTAAGGGCGATGGGACGGTAATTCGACGGATTAGTAGGGTCTTTTCCCGGATTAACAATGGGGATGACAAAAGCTATTTTCCAGGCATTTGGAATGACTTGTTCCTTCCATACTCTATTAAAGAGAAAGAGGATGGTTGCCAATGACTTGGAAGGAAGATGTTTCAGCATAGGATAGGCAATATCATCTGGACCAGGACATGAATTTTTTGTCTGCAACAGAGCTCTTTTCAGTTCAAGCACAGTAAAATCCTGATTATATGGTTCAGTATTGGAAGAATTGAAATTAATTAGTTGTTTTTCAATGCATTTTTTTGCGGAAAGAAATTCAAGAGGGTAGTTACTACTGTGTGAGACGGCTGAGAAACTCTGTCCAATAGCGTTGGCAATTTCTTCCCTACTAGTAACTGTTTCACCACTTGTCTTTAAAATGGAAAGTGTGTGCTCTTTGTAGATACCGGACGCTTTCCGGACTCTCTCCCAGACCTTCTTACTCGAAGTTGAAGAGCTAATCGAAGACACATACGAGATCCAAGAATTCTTCTGACTTTTCCTTCGCACCTGCCGAGCTTTTGCTTTAGCCCTTTTGAATATTACGAGATTTGATTCTGAAGGATATCGCCGAAAAATGCTCCAAGCTTTCCTTTGTTTTCTGATGGCGTCCTGGCATTCAGGATTCCACCAGGGCTTTGGGTATTTTGGCTGTTTTACCGACGTTTTTGGTATACATATATCAGCTGCTTGAATAATTTTATCTGTAATGATCTTCACAGCCTGATCAATGTGCACATTCTTTATTCTATTTCTTCAGTAAAAAGAGCATAATGTAAGAAAGAGTCCCAGTCGGCTTTGTCCAACAAAAAGCGTGGTGTTCTAGGTATAAACACACTCCTATTTCCTGTAATGCTTATGATAATAGGAAAATGATCGCTATTATATAGATAATTCTCGACATTAAAGAAACAAAATGGCAAAAGCTGTGGAGAAACAATAGCAAGGTCAATGGAATGGAAGGTCCTTGTTGGCTGATGAAAATAAGTGCTTTCTGCGTTGTTAAGGATACAGAGACAGTGGTCGTGGAGTAGCTGTTCAATTTGCTTTCCTCGTGGGTTTGTGTCTTTACTACCCCACAAGGGATTGTGTCCATTGAAATCACCGACTAGAATAAACGGAGCTGGTAGTTGGGCAATAAGATCCTCTAAATCTCTTAAATTAATGTTCTCATTAGGCGGGATATAAATACTGCAGACAGTAGTCAGTGTTCGAATGCTCAACTGTACTGCAACTGCTTGGAGAGGAGTATCCAAAGGGAGAGCACTCGAAGGGCAATTAATTGAGGTGAGTAGACAGACACCACCACTTGCGCGTTCAACTGAATGTCTTATCCTTTCTTGTCATCGAGTATCCTACGTAGCTTTGCAAAATTACCAGGTTTGAGGAATGTCTCTTGTATCGCTATACAAATAGGTCGATATTTATTAATAAGTTGCTTAATGCCATCAATACCCTGATAGAAGCCCCGGCAGTTCCACGAAATGAGAGTAGCCATTAGGAATGTTTATTGCTTCGATGCTGTTTCTTTGTTTTGTGAGGTAGAACATTTTTCGAGAGATCTCTGCCTCCTCCATCTGTTTCCATCTCAGATTCGATAAAGTCTGAAAAGGTCCCTTCAATAGAGCTTCGGCTTGAGCTTCTCTTTTCTGAGCTTTTGATTTTCTTTTTTGAACTCTCTGTTTCTTGTGTTTTTATTTCTCGACTTTCTATTGTCTGTTTGGGAGGAGGTAGAAGAAAAACTTTTTCTTTGTCATTTGTTTTGGTTCAGGTATCTTCTTCTGTGTGCTATGCGATGTTTGTGTACTTATTGACCGATATGATTTAGTGGCTTGTGCATAGGAGACATTTGCTTTTGACTGACCCGTGCTAAAAAGTTTCTTAGCTTCAGGATAGGAGATTTTTCTTGTAGTCTTAATATGCTGTATTTCTTTCTCTTCTTTCCACTTAGGGCAGTTTCGTGAGTATGCTGGATGATCGGCATGACAGTTTGCACATTTTGGATCAGCTACACAATCCTGACTTTCGTGACCACCTGCAGAACAGCGAGCACATGCCAAGTTTTCCCGGCATGCGGCCTTCGCATGGCCAAACCGTTGACACTTGAAGCAGCGCAGTGGGTTTGGCACGTAAGGTCTGATGGGGCAATTCAGGTAACCTGCCTTAATGGCTTTCGGTAGCTCTGGAGATGAAAAGGTCAGAATAAGATGTTTTGTGTTGACGAGTTGCCCGTCTCTATGGACTTTTATTCGGCGGACGCCACATACATTTTGCTCGGCGAGTTCTTTTGAAAAAAAGTTCAAAGACTTATGTGGGGATACAGTAATAGAGTGTTCCCCCATTTTTAGGAGAGAGGAAGATTGTGCATCAGATGTAGTCTCGATGAGCAGAGATCCTGAACGGAGCTTTTTTATGTGTTTTGGCTCGCCTGCTGAGGCCACAATATGCTTATGGATGAAGAATGGTGATAGATTTTCTAGCTGACCAGTAATAACTAAGAACTTTGGACATTTGTTTGTGCTAATTAAGGTCGAAGTACAAATTCTTTTAGCAGCTCCAGAATTTTTCGTATCCATATGGTTAGGAGAAGAAGTTAAAGTTTTCATATTGAAAAGAGAGAAAGTTTCGGGCCCGACCGCCCCACCCACCATGGAGCCCAACAAGGGAACACAGATCCCTGTGTTAGGGCTAGCCGGGCCTATACGCAAACTGAAGCTCCACAGTCGGCTTTCCCAAAAGCGGAGACTTCCGAGAGCTTATCCCCTAGCCACTGACCAATAGGACTAGTGACCAGCCGATTGACACTAGCGGGGACAGCTAAGTGCCTCCCGTTTTAAGTAGAAGCAGAGGCCAAAGCAGTGTGTTGGGGACAGTACCTCGCCCCTCAACTGCCAGGATCCTCCTTTCCCACCCTACGGGTCACCATGCACGGCAAACGCATAAGCGGTATTCTCACCATGGTGAAACAGAAACTAAGAGTAGTAGCTGCATCTCACAGTGAGCCCCAACCTCCAGTAGAGGAAACCACAAGGGAGAAAAATAGGAGAGAGAGCTAGACAAGAGAGGAAAGAAAGAGGAGGAAAGGTCACTGGGGCCCCGGGAGTGTGATACCCGATCACCAAGACGGCTATCCCCTGAGGGTTCTTCACCTGCTATGCTTTAGCTGGGCATGTTGGAACGGCCTTCACGCCTAGGGTGGCCCTACCAGGAGCTATGCTCCCGACGTACTTCGCCCGTTCCGCTCAGTGACACCCCCCGCCACGTTGAGGCAGCATAGCAGGACTTTGGGGGGACTTTCTAAGGGAAACTGGCTCGTATACACGTTACACATGGGGGAAACCACGGAAACGCCCATGCAGCCAGCCCGTTCGCGGGATTCGAATCTCAGGCCGAACTACCAGTGTTCAGCGACTTTACCGCTCGGCCGCTGGTGGGTTTAGTTGAGCGTGAGTTCGAAGTACTGAAATATCTTTACTCTTTAGATGCGCTTTGCATCGCATTGTATTTAACTTTCTTAGCAGCTTGAAGTGTAACTATTGCTTATACTCTGTGACACTGTGAACACCTATACGAGTATTTCCGAGGAAAGTTCCAGAACTCTGAAGTGTTTCTTTTGATAAAATAAACTTTATTAACCTATCATCGGACCTGTGTGCATTCAATCTGCTACGAACCCGTACGACGCAACATTATTAACTGAATCGTAAACAAACAGGATGATGTAGTAGTTTTTCTCATTTAATACACTGCTCACATTCAATAAAAACAGCTTAATCTTCATAAGCTACTTATCTTTTATTTTCCATATTTAAAAGCATAGCGCATACCTTTAAATTTACTATGAATGCATAATAAAATGTTAAACACTGACGTAGAAGGTATCTAACATTTGTTAGCATTTACGGAATAATGAGCTACTACAAATGAATATATTAAAGCAACTGTAAAAATGTCAAGACTGAATCCACTTAAAACACTTAGATAATTATATAAAATAACTCTGTAAGATATTACAAAATTTAAAGTTTTGCTTACATGTAAAAGAAGTATTCCAGCAACGAAGCTAAGTCCTTGGCAGTACCCAACCTCCTTATCCAGTAAAGAATAGGCTTTCAAAAGGTTGAACAAGGAAAGCTGACCAGCACCCAAAGACTGAGAGTAAAAGGGATGATTAGGGAATGTCCTACCTAAAAGAAAAAATAGGAAAAGGAGACTATAGCACAGTACTTACTTGAACATGAAAGACACATGATTTTTTGGAAGATCACAACCACTATTTTCGTGTTAAATACACAAATGGCATAATTAAATTTACTTTAGAATGGTAATATACAGTTTGGAGTATGGAACCAAATTCTCAGTAATCTCGAATATTAGGTAGGTAAAATTTGTTGGTGAACTGCATCATGATGATACATAAGTAGAAAATATATAAGGAAAAAGCAGTATGAAGGCTTGGCTTAGGTTATGAAGGCTATGAATCCTTCATAGAAGACATTTAAGGGTAATTTATTGGTAGTTAGTTACATTAACACTTTAATTGCTTCGTCACCAGTCTTCAGGAGATACCGAAAGTTCTAAACATGCCGCATCACTACAGCAATGGTGACGATAATTGCAAAAGATCTTGGCATTTGAAAAGACATTCAACAAATGGTTAAGTTTTAAATTATATAATAAATTTAGAAATCTTATTACATGCTGCTGAATACATTACCAAATACCTAGCAGGATCTTTCGTATTAGTTAATATAATAGTCATCCTCTCAGAGGTAATTGCGGCCTGTTCAGAACTTGTGATCTGAATTGATGTGGTAGTCAGTTAGTTAAATAAGGAAAAGCCACTAACACCCAGCTTGAATGGCTATTAGAAGTCGAAAGCGAGACTAATTATTGGCATTCGGTGACGTTAGCTGATAATACGAAATAATTTAGCAATTCAGAATATTACTTGCGACAGAAAAAAAGAAAAACACGCCAGTAAAAATATGCAGGCTTTTCTGTAAATTGTTTTAAATAATGTGAAAATGTACATTTAGAGAGAGAGCTTTGTAATATGGTTACGGAAGGCAATGATCCTATTTATTCCGGCTAGTAGGCTCATTGTGAGTGAGTTCCTTTTACTTTAAGTTACACGAGAAGCAGAGTCAGCAAAAGAAGCAGTATGAAGGCTTGACTTAGGTTATGAAGGCTATGAATCCTTCATAGAAGACATTTAAGGGTAATTTATTGGTAGTTAGTTACATTAACACTTTAATTGCTTCGTCACCAGTCTTCAGGAGATACCGAAAGTTCTAAACATGCCGCATCACTACAGCAACTTACTTTTCAATATCTTAATATGTGAATACCAAACTACTGAATTAGCAACGCCGCAAGCAGCGAAAGTTTATTCGTTATACGTTTTATCTGTAAACTACAAGTTGAAATAAAAATAGATATTTCAGTTGTTTCTGACATTGATATTTATCAGTTGTGCATTCTGCGGTAAGATGGGACGAGAAGCCGTCTGGCAGCCTAGTAAGATTACCTACTCAGTTCAGTTCAAGTGAAATCTTAAATAATGAGTGTAACCTTAACAGTATGTTTACTTGTGAAATAAAGTTTTGATTCCAAAGTATGGAACTTCTAAACGTCTTTCGCTTCTTACCTTGCATTTCTAAATCTCTTCTATGTTTCTAACGGCCTTAAAAAAATTGGCTGATGATCAATTAATTATCAGACAGCTGATGACCATTTGAGTATTTTTTTAACATAGAATTACAATATACAAACTCCTTCAGAGCAATATTTAACCTTTCAACTTCCTTCTAAATATTTTAGCTAAATTTTCATATTATTTAGGGCAATGAAATTTTCTGATTGTTTAAGGTGTCAGATGCATATTGCAACACACTTGCCTTTAAAACGTTTTTTAAACTCTGACGTCTAATGCACCATTTCTAAATTTTCTCCCAATATTTATAACGTTATTTTCTTTAGCAGAAAATCACAGTTTACATACATTATCAGTCTAAAATACTAGTTATATATACAGAACACTTTACTCGTTGTATGTTTCCCATTCAGAGCAATCAGAAATACTTAAAAGGAAGAAAAAAAAGGTGGAGCTTGCACTGAAATGTTTTTAAATCGCGGGAAGGGAAAAGAACTCAGTACTCCTTTTTGTTCGCGATAGTTAAATATCGCGTACAAAAATGGTTAGATTTCACTACGAAATGCAAAGTGTTTCAGCGGTTATATCTACTTTTTAACTAGTTATAACTTTGTTGTCACTGTAGTACGTGAAACCAGAGTTCACCCAAACGAGAGTGAAATGTGTTTTTGCGGTATTATCACATCGACCGTTGGTGTAAATTTCGCAGCGGTCGCCAGTCTTTACTGCAGAATTCTAAACGGCATGACTATCCATAATTGGTGCTAAATCGCGCTATTTGGCCGGTCAACGGTTTGGTTTACTTAATTGTGACAAAGCAGTCGAAAGCTATCTGCCTAAGGAGAGAGATGCCTTCGTGAAGGACTTTAAGAGAAACTGGCTGGTATACACGATAGACATGAGAAAAACTAAGAAAACACACATGCAGCCAGCCCAAACGCCAGGATTCGAAGCCCGGACCGAACTACCAGAATTCAGCGACTTTACCACTCGGTGCTGGTTGGCGGCCGGTCGACGGAATAATATATAAGTACAGTTTTTGCAAATAGTAAAGCTTCAGCGTTGAACCACAGCTTGTTTGCTTTTTGTTTAATCGACTTCGGAAAAGAAAATGACAGCGGCAATATTAAGGATGCCACACACAGCTAAGTGACTTACTAATTCTATTAGAGCCGCATAAAAAGAATGCAGAAGCTAAAAAGCTATGAAATTACGCCTTAAACTATTCAGGATACCCGACAAACATCGCAACAGAAAGCATCAAAATCGGCAGATGTCGCAACAGAGTCATACAGTGCATGACTATAACAAGGGTGGACGTTTTCAGCACTAGATAGGATGATAAATCATTCTTCTATTATTAACTTCTCATTTAAGCATGCTTTGCAAATCTTTAGTAATTAGAGCGAAAAATTACATATTTAGAAAGTAGGATAAAAAAATCACTCACATGTATTGAAAATTACTCCATCTGAATACATGCACACATCCACGCAATGTCATTCGCTAATTAATAACCATGAAAATTGCCAAAAAAGGATAAATGAGAAAAGAAAAATATATGCAAGAGATCTTCAAATGCGAAATACATATTCGAGAGGGGGAAAAAAGAACACAAATCAGAGTAATTACTATCTGACAAAATTTTGAGCTTTTGCCGAATATACGCCTTCAACTATTTTTATTTTCCAATGAATATTTTCACGCACAGCAAAAATGTAGCGATTTGTGGACGAGGGGTAGATGCGATTATCAAGTTAACAAGATTAGCGGAATGATAAAATTTGGTTTCGATTTTAAAAGTTTGCTTAAAAATTTCCATAAAAGGGATTCTTAAAATTATGCCGGAAGTCTCCATAAATAATGCTCTTCAGAATCAAGCATAAAATTTTCTTAAAAACAATGATAAATTAAAAAGCCTCCAAGTTTTGCATTTGGATCTCTGTCACCTGGATACCTTCGACATGAAGCTGCCAACTTTGCTCTCATTGAAGTATCTGTCGCCATCTACCGGGAAAAAATAAAACTCAATCTCCATGTTGCGAACTAATCAGGATATAACAAGCGACGGAAAGAAACACGATGGCAATACACAAAAATTTTAATTAAGAGATTTTTTCCGTCATGTTGTCAGTGCTTATGTAGATTATTCGAAAAAGGTTACTGCGGATCCATTCCAGATATGTACTTCTAATTACAAATTTCCTCAAAATAACACAGATCTTATGAAAATTATAATAAACGGTTTACGAAAAGAGTTTACCTTCTAGGGCAATTGATTACGCAAAATTTAAACTTCGAAAAACGTTAACAACTTAGATTTAAACAGAAAAAAAATTCAATTATTAAAACAACCAGCATGCTTTAATGCTTGAAATATAAAACATTTCCATACATTTATAGGTGCAAAATTCTTGGAGATTCATGCAATTAAGATTTTCATTTGATGAGTTACAAAGTTAATAACTGTTTTACCTTTGCTTCGCATCAACGCCCCCCACTCCCAAATCTAATTAATCGGTATGTTATAAAATTGTTAGTACCAAGGCCTGAAAGTGAACTAAATCTATAAATCCATACTTGAATCTATTCCGCGCTATTCAGTGAACGGAACCCCAAAACATAGACAGATTGTAATCAATCCATGAATTATGCATGTAAAGCTATATGGAATGTTTTTGTATTTAATAATAATAAAATGTAATGCGCATTTTTGCTAACTTAATTTTTTTTTTTTTTTTTTTTTTTTTTTTTTTTTTTTTTTAAATTTACGCGCACCAAAAAAAATGTAAAAAGTCATATTTTATTTTTAGAAAAACCCTCCCAACTCACAATACTGAAACTCTTCAGAAAATTCTTTATCCTGTTTTGAAGAACTCTCCAACTAGAAATAGGTGTTTAGAATCAGTGTTTAAAGAAATGAAAACTATAGCTACTTTTTTCCGAACATGCAGAATTATCGATGCACTCGTAATACTAGAATACGATACTGGATTGATAACCATATCGGACATCTGTGAACATAAATACTTGGATAACAGTCTTTCACAGCAAGATCTTAATATTTCTCTTTATATCAGAAATAAAGACGAGCTAGTTGCTGAAGGGGAGAAAAATATTAGATGAGAAGTTTCTGGCAGTAACACACTGTTTTTCCCCATCTTCCCTCTTGAATTTCGAAAGGAGAAAAATGATAGGCGAGGCAGCAAAACGCGATCCCATTTCGTGACGCGTGCGCTGTATTTTAACCCCAAAACATTGAAAAGCAGCACTTCAACTGACAGAAACGACCCTGGAAACACGAGTTGGGAGGAGAACACGGGCCTCTCGATAGTAGATGCTAGGCACACGCTCTTTTTTTAATTAAACTTCGCTTCATCGCCATAGATACCTTAGCGACCTCCTCCCTCAACGGCCAATCCTTTCTTCGTTGTTTGACGGATGCGCCAGTGAGACACCCAAATGTTAATGATAAAGGAGACTCTTCAGGGTGTAAGACTGGTCTTCAATGCACCTAACGGCGAAGAACAATCTCGTAAAGAAGAATGTGCAACAAAGGATTTACCTGCATGTAAAATCACGAACAGATGACGCAATCAAAAGGCGTAAAAATAATACCCGCCCGTAAGGGGTACTTTTACAGTTATATCAGAAATACAAAATGCGACAATACGTGTAATTCTGCGCCTTCCCTTAAAGCATTATATATATAAATTATCAGACCATCGCATGTCTTGCCCTCTTAGACTGCATTTGCAAAGACAGGAAAATATGGACCCCCCCCCCAAATTATTTTATCCTATAAAGACAAAACGCATGCCATAAGTCTCTCCGCATTTACCTGTAGAATATTTTACAGTACATTATTATTTGAATTAACCAGGTTTTTATGATTTGGATCTTTACTTTACGTTTTCCTCATCAGAATGAAAATGACTTAGCCGGAATATAAGACAGAGCTAGGTTTAGTTCATGCCAACTTTGATCGTTGTAATTATTCTGCTTTGCGTTATAACGCTGCTGACATGCTGATTTTGACGCTTGGATAGAATTACTGAGGCAGCTTTCGGTAAGATTTAAATTGTGTAGTCTTTGACTACTGATCCACGTTTTAACTTACATTGACTGTTTCTGTTGCCTCATCAAGTATTGTAGCTAATATTGTTAGCATATGTAAGTGTATTTATGTTCTAATTTCTGTTTAAATAAAAAGGTTGTTTAATCCTCATTTCTTTGTAGCTATCCCAGATATAGCGATACTTAGCTTTACGTCTGCTGCGGTTGATAGACTAATTACCAGTTCCAGATTAATTAAACCCTCATAATATTTAATGTGAGGTAAAAAGCAAGCGGGGTTTGTGTTTAATTCTAAGAAACTGCATGAAAGGATAGAGATCAAAGCACATGAGAATGAGAGTATATAATAAAGTAGACTATACAATACTAAGAATAAGAGTATATAATAAGTAATACTAAGAATAAAAGTATATAATAAGAGTATATAATAAGAGAATATTGAGAATGAGAGTATATAATAAGACTATACAATATTTGCTCTTATGTTCTTTTTGAACCAGGAAAAAATAATAAAACTTTTCAGGATATTATATTCGCGTCATTCTAATGTCAAAATCAATATCAAATTAAGCTTTATATGAAATATAATTTTTGATTTTATGCATTTAATTATTTTCAAAAGTTCAACTCAATGAAGGTGTCTTAGAGAAGTACCATAAAGCTAATCGTATAGCTGTTTTTAAGCACACAGTGCAATTAGTTTATTTAAATATGGCAAAGCACATGAGGCCTGTCTGCCTGAAGATAGGGATGCCTTAGTGGAGAAATTTCAAAGAGAAAATGACTCGTATTCACGTTACCCTTGGGGAAAATCGCGAAAGCCAATACATTCATCTGATATCGAATCCAGGTCGAACTCTCAAATCTCAGCGATCCTAACCACTCGGCCACTAATGAAACCAAAAAGTGCTAGGAAAATGAAAAAAAAAGGGAAACATTAAGTTATTTAAAAGGAAACGGAGCGCTTTCTAACGGCACCTCGTCATAAAGCTGCCGGTAATTTTATGCATGCCGGCCACTATTCGAAAAGGTAAACCTTCAGAAGGGGGCCCTATAATGAAGATTCCCGAGCCTTTATGAAATCAGCTTCTAACTTGAGATCAATAACCTTCATAAAAATACGGATATCTTTATGCTGAAGTTCCTCTATGCAACTACAATTTTGGTTTGCTTCTTTGATTAGAAAAGTAAATGAAATTGTGTTTACCCCAGTAACCCGACATAAATGCGAGAGCACTTTTGAGAACTTTGCTTTTAACAAATTAGACAATGATTTCTTAAGGGTACGGCTCCTTTATGCTGCGACACCCTTCAGAATGTTTCTGTATTTTCAAATGATGGCGGGCTTGCATAAAAATTCTGGCACTTTCAGTGGCCGTGCTCCTCCGGTAACATTCTCAAGAATTCACGAAAAGAAATAACTAACTAGACAAATAAAATCTTTTCATATTATTATTATTATTATTATTATTACCAACATTAGTCTTACAATATAACTCCATTCTTCCTTTCAAAGATTAGCTCAACCACACACAAAGTGAAAATGCTTTCCATTTTTCAAATATGACTTCCCTCTCTTCAAGACATAAACGTAAATATTTTTCACAGATCTTAATACTTTTTCTGTCAAATTAAGCAAACAGAATTTTACCTCCTTTCTTTCAAAGCTGTAAATCACATTACTTGGTGTAATAAAATATAAGATGACTACAAATCAGCTTAAAAATGAGCAGTTAGAAACAACGAAGATCGTGGCCTTCAGCATACTTCCTTTTACCCTATTACGCATATTTAAAGGTTATTTTCAACTTTCTGCAGTTAATTACTTGTCAAAAGCACGCATTTCCTAGACTCTTTTTCTGAAGAAAATCTTAATATTCCTCTCCACGTAATTTCGGAATACGCGACCCCGTTTAAAATATTAGGAAGTTATTGTCTCCATTAATTTGTCGTTAACTTTTCCACCCACCGTCCTCTAACCCGCGGTGTATTGACCATTCAGTGAGATATTACTGCTGAAGTGACTCTTCGCTCACACGCGAATCCTTTGACCGGACTGACGTTGAACCTCCCCAAAGACGCAGAGGAGGGAGAAAGGCGCGTGGTAAAAAAGATTTTTAAAAAAGTAAATTAATGAATAAATAAAAAAATGAGAGGGAATCGTGATCTGCGTGCGTGGGAGGATGCAAAGGGTTGGAAAGGCGGGGCAGGTACCCTTTGAACAACCCCCCCCTCCAACGACCTCCGCGTGAGTGGCATACCTACCGTTGGTGCCGAAGACCGGTCTTCAAATACCATTTCGAAAGGTGAGAGCCTTTCATTAGAAGAAACGGGAAGAAGAAAAACCAATGGCAATCACGACCGATACAAGGGCCCGTAGGGAAGACATGAAGTCAGCCCACACCGACCCCGGGTCCACAGAAACATGCGCTTATTAACCTGGACGGTAGAGGGTCGAAAATAAATTACAATCATAATTATAAGTGGTATATTAATAAACACAAATGTTTTCTTTTGTCGAAGGAACACGCTTTCAGAAACTTCATCGATTTTTGTTGAAAATTGAAAAGGTGGCATTTTTGCTACATCCTTTCCCTTTAAAATTCTGACACCCTTCAATAAGAATATAAAAGTAAAATATATATGATTAGTTCACCTCTGACAGAAGGTTCTTTCTTACCGTCAATGACCTATCAAACAAAAGACAACAAAAGGAGAGGGAATAAAAGATACAGAATTTTCAGTCGCTAAAAATTAAGTTTAAATGCAGCATAAATATTTTGTGGGAGGCAAAATAGTATTTACCTCCGTGAAATACAATCATCATAGTAAATTTAAACGTACGTAATTAATAAAGAATTCAGTTCTGGCTCATAAGCATTTCAAACACAGTATTATCTTCGGTAAATGGCAACGTTATTTTTAAGAAA